TGTGGGGAAGGCTATGGCTCAAAACCAAACAGCCCTTCAGTTGACAGGGGACTACTTCAAACAGAGGGCTGTCCACTGTCAGGTACGGCATATGGCAAGGGCAAAATTAGGCTTTATTTCACTTGGGTCAAAGACCCAGTCTGGCACACACACCCCAAGCGCATCTGTGTACACACACTCACAGGCAGGGAGCCTCAATGACGCTCCTCTGGAGGCTTCACCTAGGACAATAACCCAACCCGCACCCCCCCTCCCTCCATAGTGATGTAGAAAAATAGCTAAGGAAGCTGAAAACCAAGACCAAATAAACCAAATGAAGACAACCTAAGAGATATATATAAACCTTTTCTTCAATTTTGCCTTTAGTCTGCTCTCTTTTTAATTCGCTTCTCCCATTATTCCCCTTCTTCAAATCCTTTCTTTCCTTTCTGTCAAATAAAGTATTTTTCTTCCCTCCCTGCACTGCCTATTACCCTATTTCCTCAATTTACCCTATTTTTGTAATTGTAACCAAGTGTTGTTGTTTTTTATATACTCGTATCCAGGTAATTTTAAATTGTATCCAGTTTTGTTTTTGTTTTTTCTCTTGTAATTGTGTCTTTACTCCTTGTAAATGTGAATCCTTACTGTGACCCTTATGCAATTGCTACATTTGGCACTTTTGCAAATGGCTTTGACCCCTTTGTATCCTTGTGCCTTATCAGTGTTTGTTCAACTTCTCAAAGATTGTAACTACTTTCAGCAAAATAAGAAATGGACCCCATGTATCTAAATTGCATCATATTATTGTAACCATGAAAGTAATAAATGTTATTTTTAGCCTCAGCCTAATCACTTCCACTCAGCTCCCCTTCCTCCTTTCGTAAAGTGCCAGACGACCAGATCCATCTCATTTGCCATCCCTTCCTGGATTTCTAGGCATGACCTTACTCATGTAGATAGGATTTGCACCCCACTTTGTATCTTGCACCCAAACCTCCCTTTTGCACCCTGCAAACCTCCCCCTTGTAAATTGACGAACCTGTGATGAATAAGACCACCCACAACTGTGACTGTATAAAATTCTGGACTTGCCTTTGGACAGGGTTCCTCATACCTTTTGTCACCTTTGCGTTGGGAACCCGGTTGCAACCGAATAAAGGATCTTTGCTCTTAAAAAGCCGCTTGCTTCTTTCTCTCCTTGGTGGTTGGACATCACCCATCTTCTTCAACTGTACCGGACATTTTGGGGCCCTGAACCCGAATTCTAAGTGTTTTGCATCAATAGCTATGGCACTGTTATGGTCACCTTTACCTGCTGCTACAGTTTGGAACAATGTAGAGCTGGCGCTGGAGCAAACTTTTCAGAAGCACCATGTGCCGTGTTAGTGTCTTTTTACAGTGGTTCCATGAGATGCATGTTCTTGTAAAAAGCAATATTTGGGCAAATTTGTTTATTTGCAATTTGTTTAAACACCCTGGGCCTTCTTTTTTATTTATTTGATACATTTTTTCTACTGCTTGATTATTCATGCTTCTAAGTGATTACTAAGACATACCATATTTTTCCATCTATAAGACGCCCCATGTATAAGATGACTCCCAGTTTTTGAGCCCAAAATTAAGTAATATATATTTTAAACATTCCATGTATAAGACTCCTAATTTTAAACTTTAAAAAATTGTGAAAAAAACATAGTCTTATACATGGAAATGGTGCTGGAGGAGACTCTTGAGAGTTCCATGGACTGCAAGAAGATCAAACCTTTCAATTCTGAAGGAAATCAGCCCTGAGTGCTCACTGGAAGGACAGATCCTGAAGCTGAGGCTCCAATACTTTGGCCACCTCATGAGAAGAGAAGACTCCCTGGAAAAGACCCTGATGTTGGGAAAGATGGAGGGCACAAGGAGAAGGGGACGGCAGAGGATGAGATGGTTGGACAGTGTTCTCGAAGCTACTAACATGAGTTTGACCAAACTGCAGGAGGCAGTGGAAGACAGGAGGGCCTGGCGTGATCTGGTCCAGGGCGTCACAAAGAGTCGGACATGACTAAACGACTAAACAACAACAAAATACATGGAAAAATATGGTAACTGTTTTCATTTCTAAGACAATTGAATTTGTCTTCTGGTCGATGTATAAAGACCCAGCAGCGATACAAACTTAGTATTCAGTATCTATGTAATGCAGGAACCCACAGCAGTTTTATGAAACAAATATGAATGCTTAAGCTGGACAATGTACACAACATAGTGTGTAAAATGAGACTGGGCAAGGAAGAACATAGGGACAAATTGCTCAGACTGATCAAATTCCTGTTTACAGGTGGATTAATGAGCCGCAGTGGTCTCCCTTGTCTTTATCCGGGTAGCCAAACAAATGTCAGGTCAACAGCTCCCTCTGCCTGAGAGCTGTCCTGGTGGCACAGGGAGCCCAAATTTCTGCAGTCAGTCTCCAGAAGGCTTACAAAGAGAACAATCATAGCACTTGCAAAAGTGCTTTTCTATGTTCATTGAGGATCAAAGGCCTGGTTCCTAGTAAGGTGGTAAACTTTTATCTGGTTTGTTCCACTTCAGACTGCTACTCTATAGAGGTAAAGGTCCGTTAAGTTCAGTCGTGGACGACTCTGGAGTTGCAGCTGGTGTTTGTCCGCAGACAGTTTTTCCAGGTCATGTGGCCAGCATGACTAAGCCACTTCTGGCAAAACCAGAGCAGCGCATGGAAACACCATTTACCTTCCCAGCGGAGCGGTACCTATTTATCTACTTGCAATTTGACGTGCTTTAGAACTGCTAGGTTGGCAGGAGCAGGGACCGAGCAACGGCAGCTCACCCCGTCACAGGGATTCAAACCACCGACTTTCTGATTGGCAAGCCCTAGGCTCTGTGGTTTAGACCACAGCGCCACCCACATCCCTATACTCTTTAGAACCCCTTTAAATAGTGCTGGCATTTATCTGTATTTTGCCAGACATTATTGGGATTTCAAAGGCGGAATTGACGTGTGAGGGGAGTTTCCGAAGCGCGGTGCTTTGTCCTGGACCTTAGGCGAGTCAATCGGAAAATCGCTCAACTGGAAATGTAAAGAAAAAGAAGGAACATTTTATCATATGTAGTGGGAATGTAAAAAAGTAAAGAACTTCTGGGAAATGATATATAATGAGATGAAAAAGATGTTGAAATATACATTTAAAAAAAAACCAGAAGCATTTTTACTTGATATTATAGGTCAGGACATTAATAGGCAAGATGTTAAATTGTTTTTATATGCAACAACTGTGGCAAGAGTATTGTTAGCCCAGAAATGGAAACAAGAAGAAATTCCAACGAAAGAAGAATGGCAGACAAAAATAATGGACTATGCAGAATTGGACAAAATGACAGGAAGGATTCGAATCCTGCAGGACCAGAGATTTACAGAAGATTGGAAGAAGTATATGAACTATTTGAAAAGCAATTGTAACCAACAAATTACGCTAGTAGGACTACAAGAAGTTTTGTAAGGAGGAATATATGAAGTGCTACAAAGTAGATAAAGAATAGAGATATTGGTTATGAGTTTTAAATGTAACAGGGAAAATAAGAAATGTATACTAAGAGATTAGATTGGAAAATTTTCAGACAGGACTGATGGAAGTCAAAAAAGTTGAATAAGATGTAAAAATATGTTTAATTACTGTTGAAAATGGTATGTTAAAAAAAACTAATAAAAATTTATATATATAAAAAAACGGAAAATCACTCAACAACTTTCGGAGTTTGCTAAAAAAAAAAAAAAGGTAAACAACGGGGTGTGCTGGTTTTTACTTTTTGAAATAAGGCGATCCTACCTTAAACCCTCACGCACCCAAAACATACACACACTCCATGCTAAAAGAAATGTTCACTGTGGTCGGGAAGTTTTTACACAGAAGAACAATCTTTTGTGTGATTCCCCAACCAGCATTCTGAATTGCCAAAGACCAGACAGCTTAGTCAAGCTTTCTTTCCTTTACAGTGAGGGCCAGAGAGCAGTGAGAATGCAAACAGTTTGCTCACACGTTCCAGCAGAATTGGGGTCTTCCAGCTACTTGGCATTCTTTGTCTCAACAAGCTGAATGAAGAATAGGATTTGGGGGGCAGGCAGGCGAGAGAAAGGGGAAACTGGAAGAAAGCTTTGTGTGCGCCCATTTTCCCCTTTAGCTTTCTTGCCTGCCCCGGATTCTTCAGCAGCAAATGGGAGCCGCTTGACAAGATAAAGTCAGTTCCTTTTGGAAAGCATCCTGGGCTGGCAGTGATGTCACCGCTGTGGTGTTTATGTTCTCCCTTCCATTTTGTTCTTTTCCTAATGCAGTTTCTACAGCTGCTTGTTCTTCCTGCCCTTCTTCCCTGTCTTAGTAAACTGCCAAGTTTTGAACAGCTTTCAAATGTCCTGGCATGACCCAGCAGAGACAGAGTGAGGAATGCCTGATAATGCAAAAATTCCAAGAGAAAAACATATTCGGACCCTAAGGGCTTATCCACACTCACCTTTTGTCCTTTTCTTTCCAAGCACAGGTCCTCACTTTAAAGATCCATGTCTGAGTGTTCTTTCTTGCTTGCTTGCTTTCTTTTCTCCTAAATAGCCTGGGCCCAGTATACCCGAAGGAGTGTCTCCACCCCCATTATCCAGCCTTCTGGTGGTTCCCTCACTGCGAGAAGTGATGTTACAGGGAACCAGGCAGAGGGCCTTCTCGGTGGTGGGACCTGCCCTGTGGAACACCCTCCCACCAGATGTCAAGGAAATAAACAGCTATCTGACTTTTAGAAGACATCTGAAGGCAGCCCTGTTTAGGGAAGTTTTCAATGTTTGATGTTTTATTGCATCATCACCATCACTATTATTATTCTGTTGGGAGTGGCCCAGAGTGGCTGGGGAAACCCAGCCAGATGGGTGGGGTATAAACAAAGAAAGAAAGGAAAGAAAGAAAGAAAGAAAGAAAGAAAGAAAGAAAGAAAGAAACAAACAAACAAACAAACAAACAATTATTACCCTGGAGTTTTCTTCGCAAAAACCCACTCTTTAGTGTTCAATCAGAACAAACATCAATTCAGGTTTTCCACAGATGGTTGTTTTCTCTGACTGAGCTTTAAAGAGCAGGTTTTTGTGTTGACATCTCCAGAGCAAAGAAACAGGTACTTGGACACGAAGTTTTAAAGCACAAACTATGTCTGGAAAGAGTGGAGGAAAGGTGTATGTGGATAAGCCCTAAAACAAGGAAAGTGAGAGCACAGTATATATACCTTGGACCTTCTCCTGCACTTTTCACGTTACTTTAAGTGGATTTGGTGCAGAAGTAATTCCTGGTGTATTGTATGTGAGTTTAGTAGCCACTTTGAAGGGAGAGGGGATATGTTCTGGTCCAAAATCTAAAGCTTAATATCTGTTGAATCCATGATGGAAAATTCTTATTTCCACACAGCAAAAATGCTTCCTCCCACTCGAGTCTTCCTGTCCTCTAAAGCTGTGTACACAGAGGGCAGTTTAAGGTGAATTCAATGCATCCCACATGTGCACTTTTTTTTCCCCACTGGCCAGACAAGAGTTTTTACTTGTTTTACGTTTATTTATTAATTTATATACTGCTTAGAAGCCAAAATGGCTTCCAAGCAGTCTACAATGAGAACATCAATACAGAATTCATTTCTTACAGTGGTACCTCAGGTTAAGTACTTAATTCATTCCGGAGGTCCGTTCTTAACCTGAAACTGTTCTTAACCTGAAGCCCCACTTTAGCAAATGGGGCCTCCCACTGCTGCCACGCCGCCGGAGCACGATTTCTGTTCTTATCCTGAAGCAAAGTGCTTAACCTGAAGCACTATTTCTGGGTTAGCAGAGTGTGTAACCTGAAGCGTATGTAACCTGAAGCGTATGTAACCTGAGGTACCACTGTACTTACATTTTTTTATATTGCCTTTCTCCCAACATGGTTTAAAATACTTAAATAAAATGGAACACTCAGGATGAAACGGTAAAATCGGCTATGATTAAATGGGCACAAGACGTTGGACATAACATTATGTTTGCTGACTGGGAACAGTTGTGGACCACAGGTATGAAATTTACGGCATGTAATGCCTTAAGAGAGAATATTATGAAAATGATATACAGGTGGTACATAACCCCAGTCAAGCTTGCAAAAATCTATCATTTGCCCGATAACAAATGTTGGAAATGTAAAGAAACTGAAGGTACATTTTTTCACCTTTGGTGGACATGCCCAAAGATTAAGGCTTTCTGGGAAATGATATATAATGAATTAAAAAAAGGTATTTAAATATACCTTCCCTAAGAAACCAGAGGCCTTTCTTCTGGGCATAGTCGGCCAAATGGTGTTAAAAAGGATAGAACTTTCTTTATGTATGCAACAACAGCAGCAAGAATACTCATCGCAAAGTATTGGAAGACACAAGAACTTCCCATGCTGGAGGAATGGCAGATGAAACTGATGGACTATATGGAACTGGCGGAAATGACTGGTATAATCTGTGACCAGGGAGAAGAGGCGATGGAGGAAGATTGGAAGAAATTCAAAGACTACCTACAGAAACATTGCAAAATTAAAGAATTTTAGAGTGATGTTGGATTGAAAATAAGTGGTTTCCAGCTGTACAGGATAAAATTATAGACAGACTAAGATTAAATATTAGGATTAAAGAAGTTTAAGGAAATGGAAATTTGGTACTTAAGAGTTAAAATTTTAATGCTATATTACATCAAGATTAAAGATTAGGATTAAAGAAGTTAAAGGAAAGGGAAATTTGGTACTTAAGAGGTAAAATTTTAATGTTATATTACACTAAGATTAAAGACTGGGATTAAAAAAGTGGAAAAGAAATTGCTGGATAAACAATTTGGACTGGAATACAAAAGAGGGAGGTATGAGGAAGTCCAGAAAATAAGCAAATTTTAAAAAGGAAATGAAAAGGTGATATTGTTTTTAATTGTTCTGTTTCTTCCTTTTTGTTGTTTTTTGTGTTTTTTCTCTTTTTCTGGGATTTGTATTGTGTATTTGTGTATTTCTTTTTTATGTCTTTTTTGTTTAATTTTTTATTGAAACTTTAATAAAAATAATTTAAAAAATAAAAAATAAAATACTTAAATAAAATAATTAAAATACACCATAACAATTGCATGGGGGAAGCAGCTTTAAAACACCCTTAATTAAAATATATAATACAACAAACAATTTTATACGTCCACTTAGTACAAGTGCTTGTTCCTCCAAGTCGTTATAGTACTGTTGAAAATTAATAGAAGCTTGTCGGTGGGGGAAAGCGTAACAATTAAATCAGTTAAAACAATAGCATCAGAAGTTTAGTCTTGGGGAATGCTTTCCTAAACTGGTGTGTCTTCAGGAGCCGGTAGAATGCCAATACTGATGGAGGCCTCTCGTATTTCACCAGGGAGGGGGGCATCCCACAACAGGGGTGCCAGTCCCAATGTAACTATGGCATGAAGTGCCAAGTTGCCAACAGATACACGTTGCCCTACTTGTCCGTAGTTAGCTGACTGATCTAAAATGGGAATGTTGAGGTTTTATATAATTTTATGAATCCCTAACAGATAAAACAGCTGAAGGCAAAGCTTTGCAAGATTCTTTAATTTTGACTCAGGGGTCACCCATACTTGTCCCGCCACTTTCTACAAGGAAAACCTGGTTTTTACCACCAAATTGGAGGAAACGTCCACCAGGCATTCCACACAATGGCATTTGCTCTGAAGAGGAAGAGTTTGAATTTGATATCCCACTTCATCACTACCCTAAGGAGTTTCAAAGTGGCTAACAATCTCCTTTCCCTTCCTCCCCCACAACAAACACTCTGTGAGATGAGTGGGGCTGAGAGACTTCAGAGAAGTGTGACTGGCCCAAGGTCACCCAGCAGCTGCATATGGAGGAGCGGGGAATCGAACCCAGTTCACCAGATTACGAGTCTACTTCTCTTAACCACTACACCAAACTGGCTCTCATGATGAACTGATGTGAGTAAACTTCTTTTATATACTTTAAATAAGATTGTCGTGTGTTTATTCTTTTGAGAGGGATAAAAGGGGAACTTACCAGGAACATACAATTTGTATGATAGTGAGAGGCTTAAACAAGCCTGCAACAAGCTACCCACTATGTGTTTAAAAAGGGAATGCACTCTGCTAGTAATGGGACTTGCTAACGCAAGTTAGGAAGGATATTAATAAACAGTTTATCCTCTCCTGCCTCCCTGAACATTCCCACACTTCTATATGTCTGGAGGCTTTGCAAACCTCCTTAAGCTCAGAAATTTTGTACAGGCCTCCTGTCAGACCCTGGCTAAGCCTAGGGCTGTAGACAGCTGTATCCATATCTAACCCCAGAGAATGACTTAATCTGACAGTGAGAACCCGCAGTGCAACAAGTATGCTCTGCCCTTTTGACCACTGAGAACTTACAATGTTGTTTAGATATAATTGATTTAATTAGACGGTTAATATGTCACAAGCCAGATAGCTAAATTAATAAATTAGCTCATTCATTTATCATTTCTCAACACTTTCAGAACATAGTGATCAATAAATGCAATTTGTGGGTTCAAATATAGTCAATAAGGAGCCCGGCTTGTTACAGGTTTCTAATGTTGCAGGTGTTGCTATGGCAGCAGGGTAACTTATGCAGATTGCAGCACTCTTGCATTTGATTAGCATCCCATAATAGGCTATAAGTGATTTAACCTAGCATGTTAGTAAGTCACCAGCCTCTCGCCCCATTGGCTGAGCTGTGCTGATGTCAGTAAATCATGCACAAACATTTTTATTGTCCTGGGGTTGTATCAGTAATAGAATGTAAGAAATCACTGCAACTGATGAAAGGGAAGTGCAAAGGGCTTATCCATATTTCCTCTCATCCAGCTGCCTTCCCCTAGGGAAAACCGCTTTTAGTGCTCAATCGTAGCAAACAGCAATTTGGGTTTTCTCGAGATTGCCATTTGTTATAATTGAGCACTAAAGAGCGGTTATCCTGAGAGAAAGCAGTGGAGCAAGCAGAAAACTGCTCAGACACATGCTTTCTAGGCATGGGACAAACAAAAGTATGGATGAGCCCTCTGCTGAGTAGGTAAAAGAACAGAGGAAGACTTGGGATTTGGGAGGAAGGTTGAAGGGATAGAACAACTAAGGAACCCGGAAAAGTGAGGGGAAACTCTTGCAGGCTGTGGGAATGTTCAGAGTGGCAGGAGAGGACATATTGTTTATTAATATCCTTCCTAACTTGCGCTAGCAAGTTTCTTTACTTAGCAGAGTTTACATTCCGCTTCTTAAACACACAGCAGATAGCTGGTTGCAGGCTTGTGTAAGCCTCTCACTATCATACAATTCAGTCTGGCTCAGATTAAATTGCATGTTTCCTGGTTAATTCCCTTTAATCCTTTTTAAAAGAATAAAGACACGACAATCTTATTCCAAGTCAATAAAAGAAGTTTACTCACATCAGTTCACAGTTGGATTCCTGAAGGCAGACTTAGTTACAAATATGTACATGTGGATCTACCCCATATGGGGGAATAATCCAAGTGCTTCTGCAAGCTGAGGAGCTAGCAGAGCATTCCTAGCTAAGAAGCTGGTCCAACGAAGAAGGAAGTGAAAAAGAGAGAGAGCGTTGGGTGACTTATCCTTTTGTTACCTGGACAGGTAAGGTCATGTCCACCTTCTATCACATGCAGAGGAAGGATGCTCCAGCCAGGAGGAACAAGACGTTTCGACTGGCTGGACCAAACATTCCCAGCATGTCTTTTCTAGCATTACAAGGAATGTTGTACTTGACTGCTCTCAGTGGATTACATCCCACACAGGCCTGTGGGTGGAGGTATGTGCTGTTGCTGGGAAGGGGTTCAGAGAGACCGGGAAGACTGCATTCTGCATTTAAATTCAAAATAATTTGACATTTGCAGAGCTGATAAGGCTTTCTAGAACACTTCTTTGGTGCTTTCCCAAGTGTCTTCATGGTCACAGATGGTCTTCGTGGTTTAGAAGACATTCATTTAAAACAAACTTAATAGCATGTTCCTTTTGGCCACGATGACACACAATCCATTTTACACTGTAACTTTTGGTGATGTTCCCATGTGGAAGATATAGTTCTAG